AGTTACAATATGATAAATTCTTAATTCTATCCTTCTTCCTCTTTGATGAGATGGAACTGTGTGACAAAGACCTTTCCCTCATCAGCCTGGGCCATTCCGTTGCCACAGTAGAGGCAGCCTTTCCTGTTTCACATCCTCGCGACCTGCCTTTTCCCAGAGCCATTGCTGAAGCACTGCTCTCTGCAGGTGTAACCTGACTGCACCTTTCTTTCATTTATTTATTTTGGTATCATTAATCTACAAGTACATGAGCGATATTATGTTTACTAGACTCCCCCCATCATCAAGTCCCCTCCACACACCCCATTGCAGTCACAGTCCATCAGCGTAGTAAGATGCTGTAGAATCATACTTGTCTTCTTGGTGTTGTACAGCCCTCCCGGTGCCCCCACCTACATTATGTGTGCTAATCGTAATGCCCCCTTTCTTCCCCCCCCCCCACCTTATCCCTCCTGGTTTTTCTTGTTTTAAAACTAACATATATTCTGGAGGTTCCCCTACATCAGTGGGAAGAGATGGCCCTCGGTCTTGTTCAGAGTTGCACAGTGTGTCACTATGTGGATCTGCCCTAGTTTTTTCAGCCAGTTCTCTACTTGCGGTTATTTGGTTTGTTTCCAAGCGCTTGCTATTGCAGAGAATGCTGCAATGAATAACCTTGTGCATAAGTCATTTTGTATTTTGGGAAGGATTCCTAGAACTGGGATTTCTGAGTTAAAGGGTGAATGTGCATGCAATTTTTCAAGGGATTATCAAATTCTCTTCCATAGGTGCTGTGTACCATTTTACACTCTCCCTGGCCGTACGTGCCGTCCGTTCTCTACAGCCTGCCGGCGCCGTAAGTGGGCACACTTGGATTCTTGCTAATCTGATTACTTGCCTTCTTTTATCATTCTGCCCCAAGATGTCCCACAATGCTTTCATCTGCTTTTGGAAGAGCTCTCTTAGCATAAACAATAGGTGACTATGTTGGGGTGACAGAAGGAGGGTGGCTGCAGTGTGCCTATATATTTCCACTCCCCTCATCATGGAAATGCCAGAGCCCACGGCATACACCATCCTTGTCAAGACCTTGTACTTCCAAAGGCTGGTTCAGGTTTCCAACCAGAGAACAGACATCAATATGACCTCACTTCTTTCTAAGGTCAGTAGAAAGCAGAGGATAGCAAGTGACGCCCACGGGTACTTCACCAGCTTCAGGATCCTGGGAAGGGTGGAGGAGGAACCCTGGCCACCTTCCATCTGCCTGCTGTCTCCAGAGCAGCCCCGGGGCCACGGCGGAGGAGGCCCCGTGTGTGCGTGGAGGTTCCGATGGCTGTGGAGCGACCGCCCTCTTCCTGCAGGCTCGCTCACACCCAGGACTTCTTCCTTTGTGCTTGTAGGAGTAAATGTCATGGATGGACACCGTCTTTTTCTCTCAGCATTTCCCATTTCCCTGCATTCTCGTGGGCGATTTTACCTGACACCATTTGGCAATGTCCTGAGACATCTGGCTGCCACAACTTGGAGGGGTACTGCTGGCACCTAGTGAGTAGAGGCCAAGGATGTCGCTAAACATCCTACTATGTGCAGGGCAGCCCCCACTCCATAACGCAGAATTACATGCCCCCAAATGTCAGTAGCATCAAGGGTGACCCTACTGTATTCTTTCTATATGCACACACTGACTGACAGACATCCTCAAAATGATTAATATCAGGGGCAGCGGAAGGAAGGGCAGAAACACAGGCACCCCTTCCCGCCTCCTCTGAAAGTCACTAGCAATTCAGAAATTTCTTTAGTCAGAAAGACTCTAAGCAGTTATATATTTATGTGGAAGATCAAAGAACAAATAACATTTTTACCTTCTAAAAACTGATTATCTAGGTAGAATGCAACCTTTTAACTGTATTTAGAAAAGTGCTGATTATTTAAAGGAAGGGGGACCAAATGTCCCATGAATAATCAAAAACTTGGCTAATAGAGGATGACCAGGGGACAAAGCACTTGGCTGCTGTGGAGAAATTAAAGTACATGATGTGCTGGTATAAAGGAAACGGCAGGAAAAGTTAATCCTAAGCCACCGTGATGCTGAGGAAGCAGCCTTGGGTGCACAGTGTATCATCTCTCTTCAGTCAGTCTTCATCTCTCTCCATTTCCTCATGGCTTCTTTCACCCTGGATAACCCAGAAGCTCCAGTCTCGGAAGTTTGGGGATGGTAAGGATCTCACTCTCCACATTAACTTTCATCTAGTACAGACCTGAATTTTGTTGCCACGAGTTTATCTCATTCACAGGAACTGCTTTTGAACATCAGCCTGTTTTACATATTTTGTGGGTACAGAGTGTGCCTAACACTTACAAGCATAATTCATTTCATTTAAATGTACCCTTGAAGGTTAACATCCAAAATATATAAAGAACTCATATGCCTCAATGCCCAAAACACAAATAACCCGGTCGAAAAATGGGCAGAGGAGCTGAACAGACAGTTCTCCAAAGAAGAAATTCAGAAGGCATGAAAAGATGCTCCACATCGCTAATCATCAGGTGTCTTGCCAGTGCTTTTCAGCCCTGGGCAAGTTCATTATGGATTCAATGTGACCAAAGAATGACAGTAGAACGTTCTTGGGGTGAAAGGGTTATATCCAACTTTATTCCCACGGTGGCAGGTCAGTCACTAGAATCCCATTAACTCAGAGCGAGTCTGCACTCAGCAAGCCGGTCTCTGCCTCTGGGCCTCTCCGCCCCTGCGCCTCTCCGCCCCTGCAGCCGTGTCAGTTTCTGTCCTCGGCGCTGCCACCACTCCAGCCTCTACTCTCCCGCAGCCCTGCAGCTGTGCCATCGTTTCACCCAGAGCACTGGGCGGAGCTCTTTATATAGAGTCAGTAACAACGCATTGCCCACACCTGTGCAGTGAGCTAGCCAATCAGGGCCAGGTGAGAATCCTGGCCACAGGAACCTTCATTTTATCCACATTAGGGAAATGCAAATTAAAACCACAATGAACTATCACCTCACACCACTTAGGATGGCCACCATCCAAAAGACAAGAAACAACAAATGCTGGTGAGGATACGGAGAAAGGGGAGCCCTCCTAGACTGTTGGTGGGTCTGCAAATTCGAGCAACTGCTGGAAAGCAGTATGGAGGTTCCCCAAAAAACTAAAAATAGAAATACCATTTGACCCAGGAATTCCACTCCTAGGAATTTACCCAAAAGAAAACAAAATCCCTGATTCAAAAAGACATATGCACCTCTGTGTTTATTGCTGCACTGTTTGCAATAACAAAGATAATGATGCAACCTAAGGGTTCATCAACAGTTGAATGGATAAAGAAGATGTGGTACATTTTCATATTGGAATATTATTCAGCCATAAAAAGAAAAGAAATCCTGCCATTTGCAGCAACATGGATGGTTCTAGAGGGTATTATGCTCAGTGAAATAAGCCAAGTGGAGACAGACAAATACCATATGATTTCACTTATTTGTGGAATATAAAAACAAAGCAAAACAGAAGGAATAAAACAGCATGAGACCTATAGACACCTAGAAGTGACTTTGGTTACCAAGGGAGAGGAGAGGGGGCCAGGGTGGAGCAGGGGGAGAGGACTGTTGAACCACTGCAATGTCCATTTGATAATTAAAAAAGTGTCTATATAAAACGCACCCCTGGAAAGTTATGCCTAAATTGAATTTTTGTAAATAAAATCGAATTTTTAAATCAGAAGGGAAATTTGCCATTCAAAGGGAGTCTGAGGCTAAGCCTTTGTAAAGAAAACCATTTTTTTTTTTGCAAAGCGAATAGCCTTCTATTTGCCCTTTTTTAAGCCCAAATTTTTATACGTAGCTTGTGTCTAGCGCAATATTTAGCATGATGCTAATTTAAAAAACATCAGTCACGAATTTGAAAGGATTTTGAAAGTTGAGTTTTACAGGCTGTTTTTTGGAGTGTAAAACTGGGTAATACATCCCTTATTTTTAACAAGGGTTGCTGACGCTTGTCTGGGCGATGAGAAGGCGGGCAGGAGGGTACATCCCTGCAGAAGGGAAAGCAGCATTACAGAACCCATAACCTCCTCTACTGCTCAGCGGTGCGGGGAGAAGGGCAGGTGGCAGCTTGTCATGGAAACCAGCGAGGGTGTGATCAAGAGCATGGATTCACACTGCTGTTCGCATGCAACTAATAGAATACTGATGTCAATTAAACCAGTGAAAACAAACAAACGTACACATGCAGAAGTCAGATTGCCTGGGTTCGCATCCTCGCCTAGTGTGGCCTTAGGCATTTACACGACTTGACTCAGTTTCCTCATACGAAACGCGGAGAATACGAACACTACCCACTTAACGGAGTTGTTTCGAGGATTAAATGAGCCGATGCGTGAGTTCTCGGTGGAAAGCAGTGGGTCAGTGATCGTTTTGAATTCTGGCTGGGCGCTGAGCCCCCCTGTGAAGCCCAGCGAGGCTGCGCGCGGGCCTCTCGGCGCCGTGGGGCACGGCTGGTTCGGCGTGGGCCGTGCACAGGAACCGAGCTCGGCGCGGAGACCAGCGACCAGGAGCGCGCACCTTCCCGCCGCCGGCCACGCGACCTTCCGCCTGGCTGGGAGCCGAGGCACGAGGGCTCAGCCCGCCGGGAGTCCGAGCGCCCCACTGCGTCGTGGCGCGCGAGGGCTGGCGGCGCACGGCAGCCAGGGGTTCCCGGACGGGCCGCGCTTAGCCGAAGCCCCGCGCAGACATTTCTGTGCGCCCGCTCTGTGCTCCGCGCACGCAGACCCGGCCTCCACGGATGGCGCGGGGGGCCTCGGGGCCCTTAGCACCATCGGCGGGTGCGGAGCAGCGGAGCGGGAGGAGCTCAGGCCTTCGCCCCGCCCCTTGCCTTCCCTTCCGCGCCGTTGCTCCGTAGCCCCGCCCCTTGAGGGGGCCTTCACGGCTGCGCCGTAAAGTAGGGAATGGTTTTTGCTCCCAAACAGTCCGCCTCTGTGTTTGCGGCAGGCCGCATTCCGCGCTGCCAATATGGCGCCCCCCATTTGGGCAGTCCCAGTGGTTTCTACCCGGATAGCCGGGGGGCAGTGCTGAGCTGGGGTGCTGTCTGTTGAACCCAGGCTTCAGAAAGCTGCAGCTACAATCCGTTTCTGGTTTCAGCTCCAGGAACCCACTCTCCTCCGAGGGGCAGGAGCCGCCGCCTGCTCCTAGTCCCTGCAAGCTCCCGCTGTGCCCCTGGCTTGCCTCCTGTGCCACCGCCGGACACCCCCAGGTCCCTGACACTCCCAGGCTCACACCATGAGTCTTCAGCAGCTGCTTTTGCGCTTGCCCCGTTATCTCGGGGCCTCGGGGCCCCCGCGTCGTTTGGGGTCCCCGTCCCTCGACCCCGTCTGCTCGGTGGGTTCCTGGCACGGTCAGTCCCCCCGGTCCCCGGCCCATTGGAAGCAGGTGGTGTCCGAGGCGGAGAAGATCGTGGGCTATCCCACGTCCTTCATGAGCCTGCGCTGCCTGCTGAGCGACGAGGTCAGCAACATCGCTGTGCAGGTGCGGAAGCTGGTGGGGACGCAGCATCCTCTGCTTTCCACAGCCAGGTGAGCTACTCCCCCACCCCCGTCACTCTCGCACCCACTCGAGTCCTTTTTCCTGGCCTGTAACACACCTTTCCAGCTCGCTCAGTCTGGCTCTCTGTTTAGTTCTTTTTACCCCTTCCTTTCCTCGGTCCTCCTTGACGATCGGTGTTCTCCCCTATGTAGTTCACCCAGCCTCACGTTCTTCCTCCATTCGCTCAACTGAGCGGATAAGTGGTTTTCTTTCGCGAACACTTGTACTCTTCTCGCGTTTTTGCATCTTAACTATTGAGGGGGAAGGCACCTCAGTGACTTGTGGAGAAATCGCGTGGGGATGTGGGTTTGAGTCACTTTCTAGAAATAGTCTTTGAAAAGTGGAATAGATTGACTTTTGCTTCCGCACTATTCAAGAGTCACCTCCAGAGCTGAAGGTAGACAGTTCTTTCCAACGAATGTCCTGGGCTTAATAGTAGGAATTTATCCAGTCAGTAGTCATTAACCTCTTGGAATTTTTATGACTTATGATGGACGGCTACTGTGAAACCTGCCGTTAGGATTTCAAGGACCATAGCTTTTGCTTCTGTTTAAAAAAACAAACACCTTTTTATTTGTAAATAATTTCAAACATAGTGAAAAGTTACAAGGATAAAAATGAAACACGTTAGTATACCCTTCAGTCAGAACAAAGAACACACTTATATACTGTTAATTAGATCCATCTATTACATACATACTTTTAACATGTGTATGTAAAGTACACATATTTTTCCTGAGTCATTTGAGGGTAGATTGCATACATCATGGTACCTTGACCCTAAATTCTCTTTTGTTTATTTCCTAAGCGTAGGAACATTCTTTACGTAACTACATGACAATAATCAATTTGGGCACTTTTAATACCGATACTTTCATTTAATCTGCCATTCATATTCCAGTTTTGTTAATTGACCCTAACGTTCTTTATCACATTCTTTCCTCTCTAGTATTGCATGTAGTTGTCATGCCTCTCTTGTCTCCTTCTGCTGGGAACATTTCTACAACTCTACACTTATGACGAGAGCAGTGGTTCTCACACAGGGCAGTTTTGCCCTCTAGGGAACATTTGGCAGTGCATGGAGGTGTCACAGCTGGGGCGTGCTGCTGGCATTTGGTGGACAGAGGGCATAGGTATTGTTAAACACCCTACAGTGCCCAGGACAGCCCCTACAATGAAGAATTATGCATCCCCAAATGTCATTAGTACAAAGGTAGAAAAACCCTACACAAAAATTATCTTTTTTTCCCGTTTTTTAAAAAAATGAAACTTATTATTTTGAGATAATTATAGATTCACACACAGTTGGAAAAAATAATACAGATCTAATGATAGAGATCTAATATACCCTTTACCCAGCTGCTCCCAATGGCAGCATCTTGTGCAACTATGAAACAGTATCAAAACTACGGTACTGATATTGATATAGTTAAGATGGGGGACATTTACATCATTAGAAGGGTCCCTCATGTTGCCTTTATCTAGCCACCCCCACTTTCCTTGTTTGCCCCCTCGCTGTAATTTTTTTTTTTTTGAGAGGGCATCTCTCATATTTATTGATCAAATGGTTGTTAACAACAATAAAATGCTGTATAGGGGACTCAATGCACAATCATTAATCAACCCCAAGCCTAATTCTCATCAGTCTCCAATCTTCTGAAGCATAACGAACAAGTTCTTACATGGTGAGTAAGTTCTTACACGGTGAACAGTACAAGGGCAGTCATCACAGAAACTTTTGGTTTTGATCACGCATTATGAACTATAAACAAGCAGGTCAGATATGAATATTCGTTTGATTTTTATACTTGATTTATATGTGAATCCCACATTTCTCCATTATTATTATTATTATTATTATTATGTTTAATAAAATGCTGAAGTGGTAGGTAGATGCAAGATAAAGGTAGAAAACATAGTTTAGTGCTGTAAGAGGGCAAATGTAGATGATCAGGTGTGTGCCTGTAGACTGTGTTAATCCAAGCTAGACAAGGGCAGCAAAACATCCACGGATGCAGATTTCTCTCAAAACAGGAGGGGTGAGGTTCTAAGCCTCACCTCTGTTGATTCCCAATTTCTCACCTGATGGCCCCCCTGCGACTGTGCCTGTCTTAGGTTGTTCCTCCCTTGAGGAATCTTACCCATCTCTGGCTAACCAGTCATCTTCCAGGGCCATACAGGGAAATGTAAAGTTGGTAAGTGAGAGAGAAGCAATATTGTTTGAAAAGGTTAGCTTTTTACTTCTTTGCAGATTTATGCCCTGTGGCTTTTATGCCCAGCATTTGTCTTGAGGTATCTTTACCATTTGGAAGAATTATCCTCGCTATAATTTTTTATGAGACACCTGTTATTTCTGTTACTACAGGTTACTAAGTAACAGTATTAAAGTGATTTTATTTCTTGGCATTGTTCCCAATTATCAGGAATCGTCTTATGAGTGAGCTAAATTTGTCCTTCTGGAATGTTAGTTCCCCAGAGATTCTAGGAGATTCTAGGTGATGCACTCAAAACATCCACCCCCTGCCCCCCACCCATATATGCTCTAAAGTTTAGTGATGAAACTAATGAGCTTATTGCCCAGTTTAAGAACTATACTTTCACCAGTCCTGTTGAAGTGACCTGTGTACTCCCCAGTCCATCTCCCTGACCCCCACTGTACAGGATTTGTGCTTATTTTTCCTTTTTAAAATTATACGAGTGTTTCCCTAAATAATAACATGTTTAATTCTCATTTATGAAGTTTATTAATATGGTAGTTAATTGTTTATCATCAGCTATGACTTGCTTTTTTAAATTTATCGTTTCTAAGAGTCATCCATGCTGGGTCTGACTGTACTTTATCAGGTTTTCACCGGTATATGAAATCCTATTCTGTGAATATGCCACAGCCCTCTTTCCATCAGTATTCGGGTTGTTTGCGTTTTTGTATTATGAATAACGCTTTTGAGAATGTGCATGTCTCCTGGTGTTCTTGTCTTGAGAGAATAGATTGAGGAATGTATGCATACATTCCCCTTTAGTAGGTAATACCAAACTGTTTTCCAAAGTGGTTGTACCAGTTTACACTCTCATGAACCATGTCTGAGTTCAGGGTGCTCCCATGTTCTCATAGCACTAGAAACATGAGGTTTCTTAATTTTTGCTAATTAAATAGTAAGTTTTTCTGTGCCTGGTGGGAATTATATTATTAGTGGTGGGGGTTGTAGTCCTATATTACATTGTGTATATTGTAGTCTCTGTAATAAATCATTGAAGTGAAAAAGGCAGCACTAGAAAGAGCCTTATTAATATGTGTATTCTGAGATTTGCAGTTCATCTGCTTAGTTGCCAGAGCATTAGATGGGGTCCTGGAGAAGATCCTTTCTGAAGCCCCAGAGACACACTAGAAGAAAGCTTCTAAGACCAATGGCTTTGAAACTTTGCTGATTGTAGCCTACCCTGCCTACCTAGTCCCATACAACAGTGAAGTAATTG